GATATACATGATATAAAGGCGTCCTCCCCAGTGTTTTCTTTCTGATTTCATGAAACGAGTATGGCAGTGTCAGAAATTAGAAAAAGGACGGGCGGGAGCAACGTTTTCTGTTATAGTTTTGGTTTTCAAACGTTTAGCTTTCATATTTACATGACTTACTCCCTTCTGTTGAAAACGATGGTCATGCTATGTTTAGGCTTTGAGTTGAGAGACCGATTCTGTTTTGATGAGATTTGGCTTTAGATGACCTTCTTTCCGGGTTCCTCCTGCTTTGTTTTACATGCATTGTCTAAGTTTTACGAAATATATGTGATGGTTTGTCGTTTTAACTGTGGTTTACTGTGATTTGTTGTTTTAATTATAATAAAAATATTTTTTATATTGCTAATAAATTTTAAACATTTCTTTTTAAAAAAATTAAATATTCAAAGTTTAAAAGAAAATGTTGTTTTAGTATGGATTTCTTAAACACAAAAAAAAAATTATTTTCTTGTATTTTAGATTTTACAATATATTTGTAAATTTAAAAGGATGTTGACCAATATTCAAGAAATATAAAAATCTTATTTTTAGAGAATTCATCTTTATTTACTATTAATGTTTAGATAAAGAAATCTCAATTGGATAAATATTCAAAATATTATTAGGAATAATTTGTTATTATTAACTACTAATATTTGGATAAAGAAATCCCAAAGGGATTAATAACTAAAATATTATTAGAAATAATTTTTCATTATTTAATGTTAGTATTTGGATAAATAAACCTCAAATGGTTAATATCCAAAATATTTTTCTAAAAATAATAAGTCATTATCCTTTAATAATTTAAGGGCAAAGAAACCTATGAAAAGTAAATGTTCAAAATATTTTTAAGAATAATACAATTTGTTTATTTTTAACATAAGAGCAGATTTATGCCCAAAATATTATTTAGGACAATTTCATTATTTATCCTTGAAACAAACTTCAATTATAATTAAGAATATTTTAAATTTTGATTTCACGATTTATAAGTCATGAAAGTATGAAATATTAAGGCAAAAATGAGCTTTTAAAACACATTGAATTTCCTTAGATTTTTAACTTAGTTTTTTTGTTTTATATTCCTTGCTATTTACGAGTTATAAACACTTAAAATACTAAGAAAAAAATAAGTTTTTAGGCGTATTAAATCTCCTTAGATTTCTATCTTAATTGTTTCTTAAATCACATGCTAAATTTAATTCAAATCAAATATAGATTTCAAAAAATATGCATCAGTTTTTCTTACCTCTCTATAAATATATCTAAAGGTATTATCGATAGCAAACTCATCTTAGAAAAATTAAATAGAAAATACTAACACCATAATAATAATAAAGCAAATCAAACACTAATGTATCTTGATACCTATAAAAGATTCTATCTTTTAAATTTTAGAGACTTTCTAATAAGTAAATTAATATTATTTAATGAAAGACGTGAATGTTCACTCTAGAATTGAGATTCTTGATGTTTATAGCGACCCATCTCTCCCTTTCCCCATCACTAATAATGAGAGCAAGTTGTAGTTCAAATCTTTCAGCAATATATCCACACTTTTCTGTCCCTTGTTGTCTTAAGAGGCTGGAGAGATTATAACGAGAATCAACTGATGAAAGCTAGTGTGCAGGAGTTCCTATGATTTGTTGGCCCTTTTTTTTCTGATCAGGCAATAAACAGTAGCTATATATGCTGGCAGTGAGTGGGGAGTTGGTGTGGAGATTAAAAATGATTTCAATGTCAAAATGTTATTGGAAAGAGAAGAGGGAAAGAAAATGAGGGTAAAAGGCATGTAGTGGAAGACGTTGGCTGAACAGGCTACTGGCCCAAAAGGTTCATCCTCCACTAATGTAGACAAACTCATAAATGAAATATTCTAATTAATCATTGAGTTAATTTGTTACTTATTTTAATTTTAGAAAAAGAAAACAAGTTTCATGATTGGATTTTATTGATTATTTGTTGGAGAAACTATGTTTTATGTGAAAGTGATTGTGATCGCATCAATGGGACCCACAGAGAACGTCTTGAATCCAAGTAAGGTAATTATGAAAGGCTTGATTGTCTGTTGACAACTCGTGTCTAATTGTTAAATCTGACTTGGCGGACAAATTAATTCAAAAAACCAATAATGTAATTGGCGTTGAATTTGTAATCAAATCATATAAGCTCTTGATTTCTTTAAAACTTAATCACCACGAAAAATAAAATAATTGAACCTGTACAAGATCCGGTCACCCGTGACACAAGCACTTGACCACGTTTTCTCTACGATGGTGACATAGAGAACCAGACAAAACATATAACATCAAGTCATATATTTTTATTAAAAAACTATCTTATCTAAAAATTTAAATTATTAGATAAAATTATAGAATATAATTTATATTATTTTTTAATATACCTCCTCAAGTGAAACTTTTTTAAACTTGAAACTTGTATAGGATTATATTATCTTATACTTAATTTTTTTTTATCAAATAAATAGAAATGGTGAGATTTAAACTTGAGACTGTTTGATCATTAAAACTCTAATACCATATCAAAAAACTATCTTATCTAAAAACTTAAGCTATTAAATAAAATGATAGAATATAATTTATAGAATATGATTTATATTATTTCATAATAGTCTTGTAATTAAAAAGAGACAAACACCCTAAAAGATAATGATAATTGATGAGATACATCAGCAAAGATTTCACATTCTACTGCATGGTCTGCAGTCTTCCGAAGAAACGAAGCAAGCATAGAGAGAGTTGTGAGAGATGGGATCCAAACCAGAAGCTAATTACATGCCTCATATGGTTTTGATCCCGTATCCATTTCAAAGCCATATAAAAACCATGCTTAAATTGGCAAAACTCTTACACTCCAAAGGCTTTCACATAACATTTGTCAACACAGAATTCAATCACCAACGTTTCTTGAAATCAAGAGGCCCAGATGCCCTTGATGGCTTGCCCCACTTCCGGTTTGAAACCATCCCTGATGGCCTGCCCCCTTCACATATAGATTCTTCCCAGGAAACTATTCCTCTTGCCATGGCTGTTGAAAACAATATGTTAGCTCCCTTAAAGGTTCTTCTAGCCAAACTTGACAATCCTCCGATTACTTGCCTAGTTTCTGATGTTTTCTTGCGATTCACCATCACAGCTGCCGAAGAACTTGGACTCCCAGTTGTGATGCTTGTCACCATGTCTGCATGTGGATATATGGGATTCAAGCAGCTTCATGACCTCAAGGAGAAGGGCTTCCTTCCACTTAAAGGTACTGATCTTGTTGTAAAGGTCACAGGGCATGTGGTTGATCTGGTCTTGATTCTTGGATTTCGTAAATTAATTAAGATCAGGCCAATTGTGCGCTCAAAACTATTCAAGAAAGTTTTTGTAAGATCATGAGGCCTTTTCATTGATTTAGATTGCCTGGTTATTAGATTATAATCAAGAAAATTCTTGTTTGAACAGAACTGTGATTATCTGATGATTCTATCCAATGATTGTTCAGCATGATCTAACTTTAACGCCCTGCGTTCTTACAGATGAAAGTTATCTAACAAATGGTTATCTTGAAAGTACAATTATAGAAGGAATCCCTGGTATGAAACCGCTCCAACTTAAAGATTATCCGTATACTCGAAGAATAGATCCGGATGACTTTCCATTCAACTTTGTAATGCAAGCTGCTGAGACTTCTGTTAAGGCTCATGCAATTGCTATTCATACTTTTGATGCATTGGAGAAAGATGTTTTGGATGGCCTTTCCACTATATTTCCTCGCGTGTATTCCATCGGTCCCCTCCAGTTGCTTCTCAATCAAATTCAACAAGATGGGTTGAGCTCTATTGGATACAATCTATGGAAAGAAGATAGTGAATGCCTTCAGTGGCTAGATACCAAGGAGCCCAAGTCAGTTGTCTATGTGAACTTTGGAAGCATAGCAGTGATGACAGCAGAGCAGCTGGTTGAGTTTGCCATGGGACTAGCTAATAGCGAGATCTCGTTCTTGTGGATAATAAGGCCGGATTTGGTTACCGGTGAGTCGGCGATTTTGCCAGCTGAGTTTCAAGTGGAAACTCAGAATCGTTGTTTCGTGACTAGTTGGTGTCCACAAGAGGAAGTTCTGAACCACCCATCAGTTGGGGGATTTCTAACTCATACTGGTTGGAATTCGATTATTGAAAGCTTGTGTGCTGGAGTGCCAGTGATATGTTGGCCTTTATTCGCTGATCAACCAATAAATTGTAGCTATGCTTGCGTTGAATGGGGAGTAGGCATGGAGATTGACAACAATGTCAGGAGGGAAGACGTGGAGAAGCTTATCAGGAACTTGATGGGAGGAGAAGAGTGTAAGAAAATGAGGGAAAGGGCCGAACACTGGAAGCAGGAGGCGGAAGAGGCTACTGTCCCTAATGGTTCATCATCCATTAATTTAGACAGGTTCATCAATGAAATGTTACAATCAAACATCACTTTGTAACCCATGATCATTCAAAAGAGAAAATACTTCTGTGATGTGATTTTATTGCTTGCGAATTGAAGAAATGGTGTTTGACTCGATCGTCCATATGCAAGGTTGTCTGTAACGTCCCTAGAACCTAGCACGCAACTGAACAGCTTCTAGGTCTACAAACACATATCCAGTCCATTGAGCTCGGAATAGCGACCAACCAGTTTACCAACAAACCTGACATTCAGGATTTGTGATTGCGACCACCAAGTCAATATCAAGAGTTGTACTTGTTCAGTGAATATTTGATTTCTGTACCAATTTTATCTCTCTTGTTTTACTGATAACACCAATGTTCCGGACATAATCTTAGAGAATTTGGCAATTCAATATAGACTATTAGAATTTTTTAGAACTGAATGAACGGAAAAGATATTAAATTCATAAGAGCTCCATGGTATCGGATTTTTCTTTTTGCTCCTTCATACTAAGCTCAAAGGACATAATATGGACAATGTGCAACTCACGTGTAGCTTCTGAAGTAGAATTCTCGCCATTCAACAATACTCTTCACCTACAGATGCGGCAATAATTGAATCATACAGCACAGAACTTTTAGCATATACCAACATTAGCATGGAGCAGGTATGAAAAGTTTAACAAATTGATCCATAATACAGAAATGAAGTTGGATGTTTATGTTATTTTCTTTTTGACACTTTTTGACAAATAACCATTGTGTTAAGAGAGTTTAAAAAGAAAACAACTCTTAAAATGATATGGAAGCTTTAAACAGAAAATGAAGGATGATGCACAGGCATGGCATGGCATGGCATGGTAGTCATCCTTTAACTGTGCCCAAACCAATGACAATGTCCAATATGCTCATTAATAACTGAATTTTTCCAAGATGAACTGTATGCTTTGAACTACCTTTCTATATGCTATAAATAATGCAACAAGGTGGAGTTGTTCTTTGACATAGAAAATGGTCATAGTAGGGCTATGCCGCACAGACTTGCAGTGCATATACACAAACATTCCTCAGCCTGAAGGAAAGGGAACATGAGGGGGATTACCTCAGTACTCGACAAACCACGCAATGAGTCTGTGAGTCCATCTCCTGCATAAAATGGGAAGAGGAGATAAATATACTTGCAAAGGCAATTCATTTTCAGGGACAAAGGCAAATTAGTATGGAAGGGAAAAGTCAGCTGGACTTCTGATGGGATACGAGTGACAGACTTATGGAGTTGATGTTTAAAATATGATGGGAATCTAGATGAGTGCTTAGTTACTGAGACCTGAGAACCTATTCATAGGAATTGTTTCAACAACAACAAACTAATATCATTAGGAATGGTTGTGATTAGTTAGTTGGTAGGTGGAAAATGAGGAATCATGGGTTTTCAAGATGAAAGCATGAGAAGGGGGAGCCTGTTGAATTTAATCATCCATACAAACATCAAAAATCATATTGTTGAAGCCCAGATTAAATATATATATATATATATATATGATAATAGGAGACAGGTTTTACCTGTAAAGTTTCCTGAAACAAATGCACGAGAAGCATCTCTAAGTTCATCAAGAATAAGAAAGTAGTCAGCTGCAGTATTAAATTCATTTTTAACCAAACAGAGAACAGGAGAAAGAACAACTGATTGTTATTATATAGATCAATGGGCCAGCCACAGACCAAACAATCATTAGAATAATTTAAATTGGTAAGTTGAGAGCGGGGACTATGAAGTGTTTTAAGTATTTGCTGAGCTTGGGAATCAAAGAACACAAACAAGCTTAGGTTCACAAGAACGAAATACAATGCTCTTGATGTTGATGGAAGTTAAACTGCACGAGCAGAAGAATCAGTAGGCTGTAGGGGAAAAAAAATAGATATCCAGGTTTGACTCCATCAAAACTTGTGCAGCTTGCATGTACTCCATAAGTGAACATTACAAGAACCACGGCTATGCAAATCATAGGAACTACTACATTCATAGAACAATCAAAAGTAACTAAATGCAGATTCACTTAAGAGATTGCACAGAAATTTGCACCAGCCAATTAATTCCACAAAATCTTCTAATGTCTTCAAGCACGTGATAATGCGGAAGAATTTTCACACCATCAAACTAAAAGTGATACAGAAATGAGGTTATAGAGCATTTTTTGTTTCGAGCCAAACCGGCAGTTCGAAACAGCAAAAAGGAGCCACTTAATTGCAAAATAGAGCGACGAGATTAGAGTTAGTGAGAAGATCGGGGAGAACAAACCTTCCAGAAAAATGGTGGTAACCCCCTCCTACCCCATAATGAGATTTTCCTTTTGTTACATCAAACACAGATCTAATTTAAAAACAAGTAATCAAAATTAGCCACTATAATAAGCTCAATGATTCATATAAGCACAAATTTAGAACACACGAACAAGAAAACATATATATATATATAGAGAGAGAGAGAGAGAGAGACGAGTGTACCCAAGAATTCCTAAAAGGATGGGCAACGTATCATCAGTTCCATTGTACAAAGCAAGTTCTTCAGCAGTGAACAACCTCTAGAATTTCAAGATATACAGTCAATGTTGGGAATTTGATCATATCATTTACAGTCTCCACAAGCCAACCAAAGCATGTTCATGATTTGGGGTTTCAAATTCCAGAAAGAAAAAAAATCATTCAGGGTTGGACTTTTTAACCATTTGGGTCATGTAATAACAACGAAAGCCAAACACTTTGATGTTTTAAAGACCAAAAAGGTCATTTCATTGAGCTAAAACTCTTCAAATTCAATCAATTTGAGCCCAAAAAAATCCCATCAGAACAAAATTTAAACCAAAAAAAAAAAGGAGAGAGAGAAGAGGGGGGGAACTGGACCTGTTGTTGAAGAGAATTGCTAAAGGATTTGAAGGGAAATCTGGGGGTGAAGGAGAAAGCAGCAAGAGTGACTAAAACAGTAATCAAAACAAAAGGAGATTTTGCTAATCTCTTTATTATTACAGTTGCCATATCTGCCGCTGGTTAATAACAGACAACCTAGGCACGAGACTTCAACTACAGCAACCGCCTTAAGGAGGTTGAAGTGAAAACGGTCACTGTTTTGTCTTGGCTGGTAATTTACTTGTGGGTTTTGAGGCCCTTGTTATGAGACCTGGGCAGTATTCTGACCCGGTTTAAAACCTTGCCGGTTAGTCCGGTTAGATTAACGAGATAATTTTTTTATTAAAATAATGATATTTTTAAATTTTTTATTTATTTTAAAAGTACTGAAATGATGTGTATATGATAAAAAAATAATTTGATTTGAGATGAAATTCAGCAAGCTAAGCCAGTTTTTATAACTATTTTGAATAGAAAAAATAATATTTTTTAATGTATATCAAAGAATTGCATATTTAAGATTGAATTAAAAATAAATAATTGATTCTGATGCATAAAAGCTAATTCAAAAACCAATTTGAAATATGAATGTCTTTTTATTGTAAGTTTTGGGCAATTTGTTTTGTTAAAAAAAAAACCAGTAATACTTAAATAAATTATAAAACATTTCATATTATACAAATTGATTATTAAAGAAGAGATATGTACTAAAAAAAATTATTTTCAGTACCATAAACGTCCAAATTGAATTCTCTGAATTTAAATTTTCATAAAAAAGTTTATTGGGAAGGAACTAGAGTCTAAGAGGTTGGTTGGTTGGTTGGTTTAGAAAGCTATATATATATTAGTGAAAATAATTATAACTGCAAGTCTCTCTTGGCGTTTGTATTAGGTGTTTGAGCATTCTATATATTAATCTTATTAGCAAAATAATATTGATATAATAATAAAGTATTTTTTTTGGAGAACAAAAGTAGCGGGTTTGAAAAAAAATTATTTATAATTAATATTTGATGGTAATATATATATATATATATATATAGAATTTTACTATAATTCTCATGTGTGATTAGATATAAGAAATCCAAATATAAATTCAAATCAATTATTTTAAATATTTTAAGTTATATAATCGCAGTAATAAATCCAACTCAAGACAAAACTTAAGTTGTAAGTAAACACTTGAAAAAAAATATTATTATTTTAATAAAAAAATTAATAGATTAAAGATTAAACTTTGACTGGGTCGTCTAAATTTATTTATTTATTTATTTATTTATCATAGACCAATCCGTGCCTCGAATTAGCTTCTAGATCCTGGAATAACCCATGCTACTGTGCTAGTACATATTTTACAATTATATATGAGATACTATATATGTCTTATGCTTATTCTTATTTTTTATTTTTGCATTTCGAAAAGATAAATTAAAAAAATATTTTTATATATTTTTATATTAACCAAAAAACAATATACATAACTTTATCAATCACGTACAAATGTGAGAGTAAGATAAATTCTGTTTTTGAAAAATATGTTTTATTTTAAAAAATATCGAATTAATTTTTTAATTTTAATTTACAAATATTAAAAATAAAAAAATATTTTAACGCAACTCAGAAGCCCTGTTGGAACCTTTCTGCAATGCAAAAGTAAGGCCCATCCAATCAGAAAAACATCCATCTAAAACGACGTCAATTCGACTCCCTCGTAAAACCCGATTCTCTCTCTCTCTCTCTCTCCCCTCGAGTATCCCCTGAATCTCTCTTCATGTACGTTTCCTCACCATCTATCACCGACGCTCAATTCTATTTTATATTTCCAAAAACAAAAAAATCACCATTTATAGTCTGGACCCTTCCCTTTGGTGGATTTTTTTATTAATTTGTAATAAACTTGACTGGGGATCCTTAATTTGTCATAATTCACTAAATTCTATATTTTTTCGATGTTAAAAAAGTTGTTGCAAGAAAAGAAGCAAGCTTGGAAGGTTTTCTGATGTGGGTTTTTTGTGATCCATTAATTTATGCAGCTGACAGTTTGGTGTTGTAAAAGGGTAAAAAAGATGGGAGTGAAACAAGCTATAAAGAGACTGGATGCGTTTCCCCGTGCGGAAGAGCATTTGTTGCAAAAGACACAATCTGGGGCTCTTGGTAAATTAACGTTATTGAATTCTTTTTTTTTTTACATAATTTGAGATAGGAAGTTATCTTTTTTCGCGCAGTGGAGGTGGGTTTTAAGCTTGGAATGGTTGTATTGGCAGTATTTTACTCAATTAAGGTTCTAGTGGGGTGTGTAGATTGAGTGGTTGTGGCGTGGCGGGTGATTTATGATGGAAAAATGCAAAGATAACTAATTTTCATGAGAAGTTTGTAAATGGGTTTCGATAAAAGATGTGTTAAATCATATAAATGATCATTCTTAGCTTTGTTTGTGGTGGATCATAATGTAAGAGAAATTCTTGAACTGAAACCATTTATTGCAATCATGCATGCAATATTGTATCTAGGAAACGAAAAGGAGTGTTTATTGAATCTAGATTCAGTGTCTGTACTGTCTTTTGAATGTTAGTTTTACGATGTTGGTTTCGCTTCTTCTTGTTTCTTGTAGTTTCCGTCATTGGGCTAGTTATAATGGCCACGCTGTTCTACCATGAGTTGGCATATTTTCTTACTACATATACGGTCCATCAGGTCAGTGCTTAATCCTCATCTCCCTTCTGCATGTTTGGCTGTCTCTTAGATATGATGTGAGTCCACCAGGTGCTCCAATTCTAGACCTTCATCGATTTGTTTTCAAGTAGATAAATTCCTTTATGTAATACTTACAGCACTGAGACAGACCTTCAAAAAGCATGGATTATGATGCCATAATACCGCTTTCATCAACCCCGCCACCTTTCTGAGTAACCGGACAACTTGCATTCAGCACCAATTGGATTTAAAGCCTGTAATGATCGCAAGGAAACATTTGCATTAATTAATCTGGGACAGCTCAACTCTGAAAATGTGTGGCAAACCCTTGCCTGAACTCCACATATGGTGACCTCCGCTGTCATGGCCGAGGAAATACCCACACAACCACATATCATGAAAGAAACTTGCTTTGTGTAAATTGAGGAACATCTAATCTTTAACATGTACTCCAAAAGAGAATGATCATTATTAGCCTTTTTGAGCTAAGCTGCAGTGGTGATTCATAGGCATGGTTTTCCAAGCAGTAAGAGGTTTCTGTCAGTTGAACAAAAGAATGCAAGCAGAAAAGAGCTTGAATGTGTAGTTCTTGTCTTACCAAGACTATAATGTAATTCTAAAAGTTGGCTCATGGCATTCTCCCAATTGTATAGGTTCCTGCTG